CCCCCCCCCCTTTCCGGCCCAAACCCTGCCCTTAGGCCCCCGGAGGAGGGGCAGCTGCGGATGAGGTGGGACCGCTCGCCACAGAGGTTTGCATGACCTTCCATTCGTGCAATCCTCGTAGCCGGTGGGCCCACCTCCCGGCACTTCATGCAGACCACCTTATCGCAGGCTTCTGCTAGGTGGCCCCTGTTCTCTCCAAGGACTATGGTGGATGGGATGGCTTTCAACCCACCATAGCCCCCGGGATCCTCCCTCTGCTGGACAGTGACCCTCCAGGCCCCTGTCCAGATCCCATCGGGATTCTTCACCTGGGTCAGGGGCCCTTTCACGTTGTTGTACCGTTTCATTATACATACGGACAATAACGGTTTTAATGCTATTGTCCGTCAGCTTGATCATCTCAAACATAGCTGCTAGAGATCCCTGGGTGTTCTGGGCATTCTGGAGTTTCCCCCAGAACTCCCTTTGGAAGCTGGCGCAACATCGAAGCAGTTCACCTGCGCAGGTATAAAATTGAGTTCCTTTTGGAGGATAAGGGTGACACAGAAAAAAAAAAAGAATACTCACTATCTAGACAATATTGAGGGGTGAGGAGGCTAGCTGGCCTCACCAGCAGGCCAGGCTATGCTAACCAGCTAGCTGGCCGGCCAGCCAGCAAAATGCCCCCCCAAGTGGCAACAAAAAGCAACAAACAAAACCAAGACAAGGGAAAATTCAGGGGATGGAAAAAAAACTATTGGACGAGTATGGATGGGTTAACGGGGACTACAAAAACCAACAAACAATGCCTGCCAAGCCTGAGGGGCGAGGAGGCTAGCAGGCCAGTCAAGCTAAAGCTAACAGGCCGGCTAGCCAGCAAGCCAACCCAGCTAGCAAACACTACACAAAAAGAAACAAGGGGGTTAAAACTAAGGATACAAGAGGATGGGGAAACAAGGAAAACAAACAATAAGAAAAAAAAAGTAAGTAAAGTATAAAAGGTACAAAACAACAAAAAACCACAAACTAACACAAAAAATATAGACAAATAAATTAAGGGGCTCTTTACTCACCCTACAGGTGCTGACCAGCCCTAGCCCCCCTTTCCATCGCTCTATGGTGGCATGGTGACCCCACTTCCTCTCCTCCCTCCTTATCCTCCCTCTCAAATCTCCCTCCACTCTCCTCACTTCCCTCCACCCCACAGTTTGCCCCCGACTTTACCAAACTTTGCCTAACATCCCACAGCCCTTGTTTAAGAAGGCTGATCAGCCACAACAAAAAAACGTTCCCTACTTACCCCTCCTGCTCTCCCTATTCCTCTCTCCACCCTCGCCCATGTTAAAACAAAATCCCCCTTAACTCTACCTAGTAAACACTGCCCTGGCCCACACTACTCCTGCGAAAGCACAGTCCCAGTACATGTGGCGTATCGTCTCCTCCCCAACGCAAGTTGGTCTCGGACACTGAGGGGATCGTGCCAAACTATGCCGGTACGATGGATCTTACCAGCAAGCACTTGTGGAGGCTTAACCAATTTAGATCCTTGAGGCGGTTGTCCAAACCCCGCACCTGTATGTTCTCCCAGACCACAGCAGGGGTACCCACCACAGGGGCCGCACAAACGCTACGTCTAACCTCCTCGTACAGGTGTCTGTGATCCAAACCTACTCGGGCGACTTCAACCTCGGGATGCGCACGCAGCCACTTCACCGCATGGCTGAAGTGCCACGGCAGCTGTTCAGCCCGAGGACCCGTGTTGGACCACACCATTACGCTTCTCGCCTGGTACGAGAAAAACACCCGCAGAAAATAACCGGAGGGATGAATCACCGGATTAGCGAGCTCATTCAACAAAAACGAAACAAAAATAGAGTCCAGCTTGAGTGGGAAATGTGGGACTCCCCTCCCACCCTCCCCGATGGTTGAGAGCATGCGAGCCCTGGCGACATACTCATACCTGCCCCCCCACATGAACTGAAACAAGCCATACTAGCCCCCTCATGCTCGCTGGCAATGGATAAATGTATGCCAAATACAGAAGGGAAGGCAGTACATCCACCTTCAGGACCTTGCCCAAGAAAGACAAATATCTTGCCTTCCACATTGCCAGCTTCCTCTGCACCACAGCAACCCTCATGTTCCAGTTCAGTGTCGCAGTCGGAGGTCTCAAAGTATATATGTAATGGATTATATACACAGTATATTTAATGCTATTACATATATTAATTTACCTGAATTTTTTCTGTTGGATATAGGCCTACCCCTGAGTCATATTGACATGCAGCATGTTTAGCGCATTGAGACAGACCGTCTATCTGTTTGCGCTCTAAGCTAGTTGTCCGCGAAAATATTTGATGAAGATCAAAGCCAAATCATGCCTCAACTGCTTTTTAGAAAAGCAGTTGCTTATCAGGAATATGATGTGCCGAGGACCATGGCAATAGAAGTGCGGTTATAAGGCCATGCGGGTAATAATATAATAATATGCCATTTAGCAGACGCTTTTATCCAAAGCGACTTACAGTCATGCGTGCATACATTTTTGTGTATGGTTGGTCCCGGGGATCGTACCCACTACCTTGGCTTTACAAGCGCCGTGCTCTACCAGCTGAGCTACAGAGGACCACAAATAATGGGTAATGGGTATAGGGGTTGAAAGGCCACATATAGGCTGTTGAATGTTAATATTGTAAATTTTTTGAGCTTCTAGAAGCATCAATATCGATGTAACAACGTTTCTATAAGCATTTCTATACATACACTTGTTTTCTGCCATTAACCTTTATACAACACCAGGAAACCTTTGTAAGAGGTCAGGTCTGGTCATGGAATGTTTTTTGTAGCTCAGTCTTATGGCTTGGCACAAATAATATTTTACATTAATCAGACATAATTATGCAATCCCATACCCCTGGTGGCCATGGGGTGCTCAATAGCGCTACCCACAGTCTACTTTTTCACAACCTTTGATGATTCTTTAATCAAGAATAGATTAACATAGCCTAATGTTATTTGACATTAGGGGTAACTCCAGGGGTACAGCAGGCCTAAAAAAAAGGGGGAGAGAGCAGCCAGCCTCCACAGGGTCTGCCTGCTCTTCCCCCCTGTGAGACAGTTTGACTCACCCACCTATTCACTTGTGCCTTTTCCCTGTGGCCCTAATGACTTCCATGCAGGCCCACATTGACCTTTGTGACCTCTGGAACTACAGGCCTCTAGTTCCACACTCCCTGCCTAGTAAAACCCTCTCTCACTGGGCCTGAGAGTACAGCTTACTCCCTGTAACTCCAGAGGTACAGCAGATATAATAATATGCTTACATTCCGGGTTTTTATCCGGGTTTTTTTTTGAGAGCACAGACATCCAGGCCTTTAGGCCTGCACTCCCTGCCCAGTCACAAACCGTTACTCTCATTTGAAAAATGTTGAAATGCTACGTGGAAATTCTGTGGAGAAGTTTTTCCCAGCATTTCAACCTCCCTCGTCCCTGACCCAACAGCATAATGCAAGGAGAATGACATGCTAAATAGAAACATTGATTTGGAGAATGGCGTGTTATATATGAACATTCATTTGGAAGACAATTGCTCACCCAAGGTGTTGTCGCCTAGGCCATTGCTCTGATGTTTGAGGCTCATCTAGCTAAGGGATTTCACATGTCTGTGTGTGGTTTTCACAAGCTGTTAGGGTTAGATAGTAAGTTTTATGTCCAGAAGTCTGAAATTAATATATTTCCAGAATATGGTTGGGGGGACATAGAAAGAGCAACATATTTGAAGATCAGCAGGCTCTGACGTTTTTTGGGCTAAAATATAGACATCAAGAAAGGTCTCAGGACAAGGCCCAAAATGAAGCCTGACCTACATTTGAGGTGCTTTTGGGTGAGAGCATTAGAATCGTTGAGGCTAGAAACACAATTCAACCACAGGAACACTCCTAAGGTCCTCCCGATCTGTGCAAGCCTACCTTTGACCATGTGGAATTAACCCTTAACAGTGAAAAGAGGGTGCATTTAGGGTCATTTTCCATAGAAATACATTGCCTGCTGCCCTAACTTCAACCTGATGCCTATGTGGGTTATGATTGCCATATCAAACTGTCTTCTATGACTATAAGGATTACCTGTGTTGATTTTAAGCTTCCTGGAGCAACCGGAAGTGTTAAGATTGACCTTAAACGTGGTTTTGATTTCACTCCCTGCAGTTAGTGAAAAACACTGCATTCAACCCTCTGGAAATTAATCAGTTCTTCTCGTATAGACCTGCAACAGGGTTCTGTAAAAGCGTGTCCCAATGGTACCCAAATGTTCTATAATAATATAATAATAATATGCCATTTAGCAGACGCTTTTATCCAAAGTGACTTACAGTCATGCGTGCATACATTTTTGTGTATGGGTGGTCCCAGGGATTGAACCCACTTCCCATCTGAGCTGCAGAGGTATTGTGAGGTGTGAAGTGGTATGGGGGTTAGCAACTCATTTGCTTATGTGTAAATCTACCCTGAATGGAATATTTTAATGTGGAATGGGGTTGGGTCAATCTGATTGTATATATACTGACCAAAGCAACAGTATATACTCCACTTGTCACGGTTTCGGCCGAGGCTTCTCCTCCTCCTTGTTCGGGCAGGCTTCGGTGGTCGTCGTCTCCGGAGTACTAGCTGCCACCGTTCTATGTTTCGATGTTTGTTTGGTTTGGTCTGTTTGTACACCTGTTCATTGTTAGTGTTAATTATGTGTCCTATAAGTTCTCTTGGGTTTTGTCATGTGTTGTGTGTAATTGTTTCTTATGTCAGCAAGGGCTGCTAGTACTTCTCTCTCTCGTGTTTGTTTGGAGAGAGTGTCCGCACAGTGTGCGCATTTTGTTTTGTATTTTGAGCTGTACTCAGTGTGCGTAAAGTTCGCTTGCCTTCCGGCTTGGATTTAGCCGTGTGTCTTGTTTTCGTGTCTTCACTAAAGACTGTTGAACGAAGCCTCTGTTGTCCTGCGCTTGATTCCACACCACATCCACGCTCGAACCTGACATAATTACACACCGATCTCCATGGAATCAGCAGGAGCAGCCTCTGCCGCCGAGGTAATCGAGGAGCGCCTTCGTGGACAGGAGGACAGAATCAACCGGATCGGGAACGCTCTCGATGGAGTGATGAATACCCTCCGTAGATGGGAGACCAGCGGGTTACCCAAGCCTCCACCTACCACACCACCACCATCGGTCAGTCCACCTGTCCAACCTCCGGAACCCAGTGGGATTCGGCTCTCGCTCCCGAGGGCGTATGATGGCACCGCTGCCGGGTGTCAGGGTTTCCTTTTACAAGTCGAACTCTACCTAGCCACCGTACACCCGGTGCCCTCGGGACACGAGAGCGTTTCCGCCCTCATCTCCTGTCTCACCGGCAAGGCGTTGAAGTGTGCCAACGGCAAATGGAGGAGGATAGACTCCGCAACGATCACATATGCGGAGTTCTCCCGCCGCTTCCGGGCTGTGTTCGACCATCCACCGGAGGGGAAAGCGGCGGGGGAGCGTCTATTCTACCTCCGGCAGGGGATGAGGAGCGCCCAAGAGTTTGCACTGGAGTTCCAGACTCTAGCGGCAGATGCAGGGTGGAATGAGCGGGCCCTCATAGACCACTTCCGCTGCAGCCTCCGGGAGGACGTCCGTAGAGAGTTGGCTTGCAGGGACACCACTCTCACGTTTGACCAATTGGTTGACATGGCCATTCGTCTAGACACCCTGCTGGCCAACCGCGGACGTCCTGGGTGGGGGTCGCCCATTCCACCCTCCACCACCTCCGAGCCGAGTCCTATGGAGCTCAGGGGGGCTGGCGCTAGAGAACGGAGGAGAAGGAGTCCGAGGGGGGCCGTCCCCTGCACCAACTGTGGCCGTGGAGGACACACTGCGGCTAGGTGCTGGGGAGGGTCTCCAGGGGGACGAGACGGCAGGCCACGCACTGGGGAGTCCTTCCAGGTGAGTAGGCGCCCCACTTACCCAGAGCTCTCTGTCGTGCACCTAACCATACCTGTTTGTTTTTCACAGGTTGCACCTCGTTCCCAGCATAAGGCGCTAGTAGATTCAGGCGCAGCTGGGAATTTTGTAGATCGAACATTTTGTATAGAGTTAGGGATTCCTCTCCTTCCTGTTAAAAATCCCTTCCCTGTACATGCCCTAGATAGCCGTCCGTTGGGATCGGGGTTAATTAGGGAGGTCACAGCGCCACTTAGGATGGAGACGCAGGGGGGTCATGAGGAGACGATTCAGCTATATCTGATCGACTCTCCTGCGTATCCGGTGGTGCTGGGGCTTCCCTGGTTGTTTACTCATGATCCCACTATTTCGTGGCGAGAGAGGGCTCTTAAGGGGTGGTCTGCCCAGTGTGTGGGGCTATGTCTGGGTGTTTCCGTGGGGGCGACCTCGGTGGAGAGTCCAAACCAAGTGCCCGCAATGCACGTTCCCCCCCGAGTATGAGGATTTAGCACTCGTGTTTAGCAAGGCGAGGGCGGCGCGATTGCCACCTCATAGACAGGGGGATTGTGCGATAGACCTCCAGGCAGGAGCTGCGCTCCCCGCGGAGCCATGTGTATCCTTTGTTGCAAGAGGAGAAGAGGGCGATGGAGACATACATAGCCGAGTCTCTGAGACAGGGATACATACGGCCCTCCACTTCCCCTGCGTCCTCAAGCTTCTTTTTTGTGAAGAAAAAAGATGGAGGTTTGCGCCTGTGTATTGATTACCGCGGTCTCAATCAGATTACTGTGAAATACAGTTATCCACTCCCTCTGATTGCGACTATGACGGAGTCATTACACGGGGCACGGTTTCTTCACAAAATTGGACCTCAGGAGCGCCTACAACTTGGTGCGCATTAGGGAGGGCGATGAATGGAAGACAGCATTTAGTACCACCTCGGGTCATTACGAGTATCTCGTCATGCCATACGGGTTAATGAATGCTCCGTCAGTCTTCCAATCCTTTGTGGATGAGATTTTCCGGGACATGCAGGGGCAGGGAGTGGTCGTGTACATAGACGATATTCTGGTGTACAGTTCTACCCGAGCCGAGCATGTAGCCCTGGTGCGCCGAGTGTTGAGGAGGCTGTTGGAGCACGACCTGTATGTCAAGGCAGAGAAATGTCTGTT